TTTCATCACAAAATATGAATTTTACATTTCTGTGTGCATTTAACATATATTATTTGTGTTATTTAACATACATTAATGTACAAATTAATATAAAAATAACTTAAAATTAAAGTAAAATTTGTTTAGTTTTGGTTGTGTGTTTCCCTTTCCCTATTTACTCTATGTTAAAATGATCTCGTTTAACGCTGTTTCGTTTAGCACTTTGTCATCTAGCAATGCATCCTCGTGTTAAGCGGGGTCTTACTGTACAACACTAGTCAACACTAGATTATGAAAGATTGTGAATGTTTTTAAATATTTTTCAATTGAATTCAACATATATATGAATGCATGTAAATATGAAATTGCTCAGCTTAAATTTGGTTTTATTGTTGTAAACTAGTACTTTTCAAATTCTTCTCAATAATAATTACTATACAGTTAGCCCTCTATTTAATAGACTCAAATTTAATGGATTTCATATTTAACAAACACAAAACTTTCTGCCTTACAGAAAATAACTACAGAATATTTCCTTTACTCACCACAAAAATGTAACCATTTACTACATGTACAGATGTCCCTTGCTTAACATGAAATTTGATTAAAATGCAAAATTAATTGTGGCAATACCTTTACATATGCAGCAGAAATTTTAATTAATGCAGCTTTACCTGCTGTCTTTACTTAACATAGATACTATATTTGACTAACATGATTTTGATATAAACAGTAGCATCAAAGGATTAATTAACTGTATTAATCAAGGGATACCTATAGTAAACACTTATCATTCTAGTGTTTTCATCCTCTTAAATCAACTGTCTTTAGGAAATATTTGAATTTTACAATTTAAAAAAAAACAATCTCCTGAAGAAAATTGATTATGAAGACCGAAAATGTTAGAATAATAAATATTTATTGCATAGTTATGTTTTTATTGTGTCTATTTACATGTTATAGCAAAATTTTAGTACATCTTATACATTATAAATTTGTTATTAATATATATGCTATTGCTGAAAATCCATTCAATTTGAGGAACTTTCAGTAATAGCAGACATACCTTACCTCAATTAGTCCATTAAATTAAAAGTTTACTATGTTTAAATTTAATTTAGGTAGATGTTCACATAGGTAGCCCCAATGGCAGTATCACACTTAACAATTTAGCCCATGCAACTGTGCCAGCTTCGAATAGCCAACTTGACTGTTTGTGAAGTATTTGATGTTATATTGTTTTAGGGGATGTGGGGCTCGCTCCCACTTGGGTGCTAAGATGCAAGTGATAACAAGCACCAAGAGCACGCCTACATGCAAAGCATGGAGAATAGTGGAGAATAGACTGATACATGTTAAAAACTGATCTTCGGAGACAAATGTTACGTGAAGGGTCAACAATTATGTGATTTATGTAAAAAAATACGAAATAAAACAATGATTTCACTAAAAAAGTAGTGAAAAAACCGTCACTGGGGATACCTAGACGAACATTTATCTTAATTTATTTAATTTTAATTGTAAATTTCAATCATCATAAATCAGCTTTTATTACACTATTTATAGTTTTTTAAATATTTAAAAAATTTTTTAAAGTTAAAAAACATATTTGAGGAACTATACTCTTTATCAATGCAATCAAATATATATAAATAATATAAATTCAAGTTACAAGCTTCTAAATACTGTGTGTTTGTATTCATGATTACAAAAAGTATTTCATTACAATATTCTGTGATATACGACAGCCGAATGCTGGTTAATACGTAAAAAACCAACCCATTCCATAACCTAGAAACCAGCAAAATTTTGCTTACGAGACAAGCAAACGTCTTCGTCCACTTTCAATCGTACATCTTCGAGCCATAGATCAAATCAAAAGCGGAAGAAATCGTTTGCTTGTCTCATATGCAAAATTTTACCAGTTTCTAGGTTACGGGAGTCGATTTTTTACATATTAACCAGCATTCAGCTGTAATATATCACAAAATCTAGAAGATTGTAATGAAATACTTTAGTAATGCATATTAATATGTAATTCAGTTAAAGTTTACCTAAGTAGTCCCAATGGGGCGTGTTCGTACTCCCGACAGACTCCTCCCAGAAGGGAGCCGCCGATTGCTTAACATCACTAGTTATTGATTCACAATAGTTCTTGAACAAAAGAAAAAAAGGAGACGTCTACTAGAAATGTAGTTAACCTGGGGCCATATTCTGGTCACTGTCTCTGGTCTCTCATCTCTCGCAAGCCAGTCGCTGATTGGCTAATCCAAATGATTAGCCAATCAGCAACCGACTTGCAAGCGACGAGAGACCAGAGACAGTGACCAGAATATGGCCCCTGGTATTTACCGTTAACCTAACCCAAGCGCCACCGTTGGGACTACCTAGGTAAACTTTTAACCTGAAATTCAAACAGTATGAGGTTCTACAGTTTGTTTACAGATCTACATCAATACATTTCTATGTTGTTATTATTTGTATATAATAAGCCATTGGTGGTTTCAAATTTCTCTAAATTAAAACGGAAAACGTCAGTTTATAATTCTTAATGGTAATAATAATGATAAGATAAATGTGATTAAATACTAGACACGATTTTCATTTCACGATAGTATCGAAACCAATCCGAAAAATATATATTTTTTAAATCTTACTTTTAAAATGTGTAAGGTGACTCAATTTTCTATAATTTTCACGCGTACAAATTAATTTTATCTAAAAAATTAACTGAATAATTTAAATCTACATTATGGTTCACACGATTGCACTCTACATCGTAAAACCAATTTGACATACTGAAAATGACTCATTTCCGTTTGTATAGTATTTGTTTATGTTAAATTTGTAGTTGAGTGCATTCCTCCAGATATGCTGCCTCCTACTTGGATGGTACTATGGAATGAAATGCTTCTGGAATGGCAGCATGACTGGAATGCTAACACGTCTCTTACCAAACTATTTTTTCCTGAGATTTTTAAACTTATACATAATACTTGGATTGTTGTTAATCACCAAACTGTTCAATTTTATACTGGTCATGGGCGTTTTAACTCATATTTAACTCATTTTACTACATACAACAATAACCTTTGTCCTGTTTGCAATACAACTGATGGCAGTCTTCATTATATATTTGATTGTATTACTACTGAATGTGAAAGAAACAAAATACGGACNATCAACTGTCTTTAGGAAATATTTGAATTTTACAATTTAAAAAAAAACAATCTCCTGAAGAAAATTGATTATGAAGACCGAAAATGTTAGAATAATAAATATTTATTGCATAGTTATGTTTTTATTGTGTCTATTTACATGTTATAGCAAAATTTTAGTACATCTTATACATTATAAATTTGTTATTAATATATATGCTATTGCTGAAAATCCATTCAATTTGAGGAACTTTCAGTAATAGCAGACATACCTTACCTCAATTAGTCCATTAAATTAAAAGTTTACTATGTTTAAATTTAATTTAGGTAGATGTTCACATAGGTAGCCCCAATGGCAGTATCACACTTAACAATTTAGCCCATGCAACTGTGCCAGCTTCGAATAGCCAACTTGACTGTTTGTGAAGTATTTGATGTTATATTGTTTTAGGGGATGTGGGGCTCGCTCCCACTTGGGTGCTAAGATGCAAGTGATAACAAGCACCAAGAGCACGCCTACATGCAAAGCATGGAGAATAGTGGAGAATAGACTGATACATGTTAAAAACTGATCTTCGGAGACAAATGTTACGTGAAGGGTCAACAATTATGTGATTTATGTAAAAAAATACGAAATAAAACAATGATTTCACTAAAAAAGTAGTGAAAAAACCGTCGCTGGGGATACCTAGACGAACATTTATCTTAATTTATTTAATTTTAATTGTAAATTTCAATCATCATAAATCAGCTTTTATTACACTATTTATAGTTTTTTAAATATTTAAAAAATTTTTTAAAGTTAAAAAACATATTTGAGGAACTATACTCTTTATCAATGCAATCAAATATATATAAATAATATAAATTCAAGTTACAAGCTTCTAAATACTGTGTGTTTGTATTCATGATTACAAAAAGTATTTCATTACAATATTCTGTGATATACGACAGCCGAATGCTGGTTAATACGTAAAAAACCAACCCATTCCATAACCTAGAAACCAGCAAAATTTTGCTTACGAGACAAGCAAACGTCTTCGTCCACTTTCAATCGTACATCTTCGAACCATAGATCAAATCAAAAGCGGAAGAAATCGTTTGCTTGTCTCATATGCAAAATTTTACCAGTTTCTAGGTTACGGGAGTCGATTTTTTACATATTAACCAGCATTCAGCTGTAATATATCACAAAATCTAGAAGATTGTAATGAAATACTTTAGTAATGCATATTAATATGTAATTCAGTTAAAGTTTACCTAAGTAGTCCCAATGGGGCGTGTTCGTACTCCCGACAGACTCCTCCCAGAAGGGAGCCGCCGATTGCTTAACATCACTAGTTATTGATTCACAATAGTTCTTGAACAAAAGAAAAAAAGGAGACGTCTACTAGAAATGTAGTTAACCTGGGGCCATATTCTGGTCACTGTCTCTGGTCTCTCATCTCTCGCAAGCCAGTCGCTGATTGGCTAATCCAAATGATTAGCCAATCAGCAACCGACTTGCAAGCGACGAGAGACCAGAGACAGTGACCAGAATATGGCCCCTGGTATTTACCGTTAACCTAACCCAAGCGCCACCGTTGGGACTACCTAGGTAAACTTTTAACCTGAAATTCAAACAGTATGAGGTTCTACAGTTTGTTTACAGATCTACATCAATACATTTGTATGTTGTTATTATTTGTATATAATAAGCCATTGGTGGTTTCAAATTTCTCTAAATTAAAACGGAAAACGTCAGTTTATAATTCTTAATGGTAATAATAATGATAAGATAAATGTGATTAAATACTAGACACGATTTTCATTTCACGATAGTATCGAAACCAATCCGAAAAATATATATTTTTTAAATCTTACTTTTAAAATGTGTAAGGTGACTCAATTTTCTATAATTTTCACGCGTACAAATTAATTTTATCTAAAAAATTAACTGAATAATTTAAATCTACATTATGGTTCACACGATTGCACTCTACATCGTAAAACCAATTTGACATACTGAAAATGACTCATTTCCGTTTGTATAGCCATCTGGCGGAAAAATACCTCGGTTGATAAATAAATAAAAATTAATAATTTTCTTTTTTTTTATAAATTCCTTTAATTAAAAATATTTTAATTGTAATAATATTAATAAATAAGTAGAGTAGTTCTGTATTAATTAAAATTAAAATACAAACTTTATTAATATTTTTATTCATGTCTATGGCTTCTACATTTAGCAGACTGAACAGGGCTGCGTTAAGTCAAGCATTATTCTTTGCCAGACGATTAGGAAAACTGGTGGACGAAGTTAAAATCGAATATAAATAAATATAATAAATTAAAATAGCAATTTATTTATCTTTAAAATGAAGCTATTTAATCCGGCACGTCCAGCTATTACTGCCGTAATCGTTTTAGCGGCCGGATGGCCGAGCGGTCAAGATTCTCTGGGGAATCCGAGATGGAATCCGGACGGTCAAAACAAATTTCAGAAATTATTCGGAAATGGTCCATTTGGACATGTCGACCCCCGGCAACACCGTTATATATCTGGCCGAACTTATAATGGGCTTGCTAAAAAATGGTCCTTTTCATCCCATGAGGGCAAAAAAAAAATAAAATAAAAATATATTGCTAGAGAAAGTGTTGCATTATTGTTTCATATTTTATTTTGTAATGTATAACAAAATGACTTTTGATAAATTTAAAATTAACGTTGCACGACAATAGCGTATTCGAGATTTTTCAGTAGAATTCAAAAATTAGCAATTCTGGCAACACTTTCTTATTCATGTCTTCCCCTATTGAAAGTTTCGTAATAAATTAGAAAAAACAAAAAAAAAATTTCCGCATGTTATGTTTTTAAAAATTATTTTAAATATAAAATTTATATTAAATTAATAATTAAAAAATATTTCAAAATTAAAATTTTATAATGGAATACATAGTGATATGTAATTTGAAATTTAAAAAAAAATGTATTATGTATTAACGGAATTGTCAATATGGATTAAATAATAAATATGAACGAAGAATTGGTTGTAGATCAAGAAAGTTGTAAGAAAATTTATATTCCAGTAAAAATATTTTGTTTTAAAAATTAATTTCATTTATTATTACGGCATTTATAAATAAATTTAAATCTTAATCCAATTGAATTCTATTTAAAAAAAAAAAAAAGTTTTTCGCAGTTCGATTCGTGTTAAAATTTAAAATATTTTTATAAATTTATTATATATTATAATGTATTTAATATAAAATACAGTGAAACCTCGATTTAACGCACTTTGGATTTAACGGAAAAATTCCCGGCCTTTACGTCACATGGGAAAATTAACACACATCGTTTTAATTTTAAAATGTTTTTTATATGTAATTTAATTAACAGTTTTTTTTTTATACTCTTTCCGCCTGTGGGCACTAAGAGGACGTCTTAAAGCAGGCCCATTACGGGTTCGGCCAGGCCCACAATGGGACGACCGGATAGTGAGGGACGGGGCCCGACTTATCCGAACGGACCCCCCCCGAAGAATTCCTGGAGATTCGTTGACCCATCCGGATTGTACAAATGTAAAAATAATTTGATCAGTTTTTATTAGCTTAATATCTGATTCGCTTCTACTAGAAGCTTTCGATGTTAAACTGATTTTTGGAAACTGACGAAGAATTGGAGCTAGCTTTGCCATAGGTTGGATCGGGTTTGCACTATTTCCGAGAATAGCCCACTCCACTATGGGGTTATAAATAATAAAGATTAGACGTTCTTCACTTTCAATTTTAGCAGAGAGTTCGTCAGTAACAGGCTACGAGTTTAAGGCTGTGTACATACTAGGCGTTTTGCGTTGCGTTAAACGCGCGTTAGCAGCGTAAACACCAGGCATTAGCTCGGCTTTAGAGGAGCGTTTAGTGGAGCATACGCACTGGCTCAGTTTGGAAATGGACGTGAAAGTAATTGCTTGCGTACCCCTCCTCCATCCCCGCTATAAAAGTACGACAGCCGAATGCTGGTTAATACGTAAAAAACCAACCCATTCCATAACCTAGAAACCAGCAAAATTTTGCTTACGAGACAAGCAAACGTCTTCGTCCACTTTCAATCGTACATCTTCGAGCCATAGATCAAATCAAAAGCGGAAGAAATCGTTTGCTTGTCTCATATGCAAAATTTTACCAGTTTCTAGGTTACGGGAGTCGATTTTTTACATATTAACCAGCATTCAGCTGTAATATATCACAAAATCTAGAAGATTGTAATGAAATACTTTAGTAATGCATATTAATATGTAATTCAGTTAAAGTTTACCTAAGTAGTCCCAATGGGGCGTGTTCGTACTCCCGACAGACTCCTCCCAGAAGGGAGCCGCCGATTGCTTAACATCACTAGTTATTGATTCACAATAGTTCTTGAACAAAAGAAAAAAAGGAGACGTCTACTAGAAATGTAGTTAACCTGGGGCCATATTCTGGTCACTGTCTCTGGTCTCTCATCTCTCGCAAGCCAGTCGCTGATTGGCTAATCCAAATGATTAGCCAATCAGCAACCGACTTGCAAGCGACGAGAGACCAGAGACAGTGACCAGAATATGGCCCCTGGTATNAAAAATCTATAAACGCGCGTTTAACGCGCGCTTAAAAACGCCTAGTGTGTACGCAGCCTTAGACGATACTGAGGGCGTTAAATTTTCTTTTCATATAAAATTTAAGGTGTGCGGACGACAACTGATGGGATAGTTGCTAAAGTTGGAGAAAATAAAGTTGGAAAATTGGAAAATACACGCGCTAAGTAAAGAAGATGCCCTAGAGACTGTGACAGGCTTGCTGAGTATTGGATTGGCCTACCTAGATAGGGGGTTACCGGGGAGTGACGTCATAGTTGATACCGAAGTATAGACGATGTCGACGTCGTTAGTTAACCTTTGATACAATAAGAAAGGGCGTGCGAACGACTATAGATGGGAAAAATGCTACGCTTGAAAAGCAGAATTGGAAAATACACGCGATAAGTAAAACAATGCGCTAAGGGTTGCAACAGGTTCGGTCAGGGTGGGTTGGTCTATTTAGTTTAAGGGGTTATCGAAGACTGATTTCCACGCGGAGGAAAGCGAGTCTGCATAACTGCTGTTGATACAAGATACAACTCTCTTTGAGGGATTGCGCAAATATTTCAATGGTTCTAAGTTTGCTTTTGTCATGCATAGGAATAATAATCTTTGCCTGTTCCCATTCGGTCGTTATATTTGGTTCGCTTGCAAATTGGGCTAGGATGGAAGTGAACTTTTTGTTGTATGCGTCGTATTTGTTCTCAGCTAACCTCCTTTTAAGCGATCTATTGGTTGAGCCAATGTATGTTAGTTTTTTGCTCGGGTTGGATCTGGTGTCCTCTAGTGGGACTGTGTAAACTCCTGGTCTTCTGGCTTCGCTGCATTTGTCCTTGGGATTAGCCAGAAGTTTATAAATCGTAGAAGTGAACTTTTCAAGGGTTGCATTTATATGCCAGAGTAGCTTTACCTTTTTGGTTATGAATTTAAAAGCGTGGCTCATCCTAGGGTCAAAATCGACTACAATGTACTTACCTCGCTGCTTTATAGGTTTGGAATTGACCGCTTCGGTTGTTAAGCCTCTGTGTATTTTTTGCGCAAGCCTATCAATTAATTTACAGTTGTAACTGTGGGCTGTGGTGAGGTGCTTGATGCGCTGGATTTCTTGTAGTGCGCCCTTAATGTTAGAGCAACGGGTAAAAGCTCTACTGATTAGAGCCCTGAAAGCGGATATTTTATAAGTAAATAGGTCATTCGAAGTTGCAGGGATGAAGAAAGATTGAAGATTAGGCTTATGGAATATATTTGTGGTTATACAACCATGATTCAGGAATATATTGAGGTCAAGGAAATGGGCCATCCTATCATCCTGTTGGTCTAGCTTTAATTTAAGTCCAAACAGGTTGTTGTTCACAATCTCCAGTACAGCGTTTAAATCCGGCTTGGATCTCCAAATGATGAGAAGATCATCAGCATAGCGCGTGTCAAGAATGATTTCTGCGTTGAAGGATTCTAAGACTTTGCTATCAAATTTTCTAACAACTAATTCACAGAGGTCTCCAGAGAGGGGGCTACCCATTGGAACTCCCCTTCTTTGAAGATAGATTTGCTGGTTGAAGGTGAAGAATGAGGTGTAGCACATTAGATGAGCTAGTTCTAAAACGTGCTTGTGGTATTTAGGCTTGGGTGGAGAGGCTTGGAAGAAGAAATCCCTAAGGGCACAGAAGAATGGTTCCAATTTAATGGAAGGATACATAGCTTCATTGTAATAAATTCCTGATCCGTAAGAGCAATATTTTGTAACTTAGTGATGAGTTCCCGAGTGCTCGAAACGGTGTAAGTATATTCTTTCAAATGGTTTCTGAGGAGCTGATGTAAATCCTTCTCAATAGGTAGGGTTGGAGATCTTGATTTGTCAACAATCAGCCAGATTTGCTTGCCTGGTTTATGGGTTTTAGTATAGCCGAATAGCCGCGGAAACTCAGGTGATTGCATGGTAGCAGTTCCAAGTTGCAGGTGTTTAGCTAGTGGTGAGTTGGTGAATCTGGTAACTCTATTATGGAGTTTGTCTAACTTGTAAGTATCCTTCTTCTATTGTTTGGCATTCTGTAGAATCGATGTATTCTTTGAGTAGCTTAGTGTATGTATGTTTCTTCATAAGGACAACGTTTCTGCTTTTATCCACTCTGGTAAGGATTATTTCATTAGCTTGGAGCCATTCTTTACTTTTACTTACATTTGTCCAAAATTCTTTATCTCTGTTGTCAATTTCTTTAATTCTTTTGCTGAGAACCATGTTCCACCTAAAGAAATCCTTATGCTGAGCCTTAATTGGCAAAAGCAGCTTTTCGATGTTTGGAATGATGGTATGCGCTGAGATCTTCGAGGGCTTCGGGGCAAACATAGGTCCAAATTTGAATGCCTGAACCAATTCCTCCAGTGGTTTAATATTGTCCCAGCAGACTATAGCTTTTTTAGCTTTAAGATAGAATATTATAATCCTATAATATTCTATCTTAAAGCTAAAAATGCTATATATCTCAATGCTTACTATCATTCCAAACATCAAAAAGCTGCTTTTCGATACACACGATCCCCTTTATCTCCCCATCCCCTCAACCTTTAATCACCAAAATTTAATAGCATCAGTCCCCCTAATACAGAAACCTTCCTGCAAAATTTCAGAAATTTTTGACAAAAAGCACAGAAGTTATTAAGCTTCAAAGAGGACAAACATAATCGTGCTCCTCACACACACACTAACATCCATACATACAGAAAAAACCCCCGAATATTTTTGCATTTCTTGACATTTCAAGGTGTCAAGGTTTACATAATTTTCAGATTATTCCCATGTTTAAATAAGATTTTCAAAAGCAGCATGGTTTTTTTTACACACAAAAATGTTTGAAATTTATTATTTATAGTAGTTTGTTGTGATTTTATTAAAAAATAGATTATAATTCTACAAACGAATATGTTAGAAAAATAGGATCTTAAATCAACACAGTTTTAAACTATAACAATAAGTTTATAATTATTTAGAATCCTGATATGAACAAATTAATATGACAGAATACTAAGTACTGTAGCTTTACTGTATTTTAGGCTCCATCAGTTATATCTCAGTTACATTTGAACAGAAAGATCAGAAAAACAATGATATATTATGATTATTTTATTCAGAAACAATGTTTTAATAAAGAAAGACTGCTTTAAATGAAATCCTTAAACAATATTTACATAAAAACATTGAAATGATACAAATTGAATAATGATGGCTAAAAAGTGATAACTTGTATCTACAGTACAAACATGCAAGTTTACTGAAGCAAAAAACTGTTTTAGAAATTAAATTTTGTCAAAATAAATAAAGTTTTTATTTATTTTTCTGTCTTTCAAGGTGTCCCATTGATGACTGTCCGATGTTTTAACATAATCGTATAGTAACTAAAAGTTCTCATTGCATTACTTTTGGCCATTTTGCAGATAAGAGATATAACTTCTTAGTCATAAATATGTTCACTTTTAAATAGTTTTCAAATTTATATAAAATAATATGTTGTTATAAAATTATGAGAAACATTAACGTGATTAAAACAATGTTAATTTTTTTCATTTAACAGGGCTTAAATATTTAAAAGCTGTGAAAGATGATTTTGAAGAAAAATGGAACAATGCTTTACCAGTAAAGTATATTATTTATGATTTTCATTTAATTTTTACAACCTGTAAATTTTATATTTGATTTCATTTATACATACTTTTTAATAAAAATAAGTTATTCTGTCGTATTATTTTTATAGTAAATTACACAAACATTTATAGTATTTGTAATAAAGATTATAGGCAAATAGATTTTAAGGATTTGTTTTCTACCGAGTGGTTGCAAAATCCATTTGTATGAAGTTGTGTCTTATGTCTCAGTTACAGAATATCTCAATGATAGATATAATGGATGATGAATTGGGTGTGTATCAAGATTCTTTGGCCATTGAATCAGATTTTACAAGATATTGCTGTTTGTTGTGGGACATAGAAAAACAGAAAGTTCTCAATCTCATTCTCCCACTGTTTAAAATTGAAAAACAGTTATCAATGACTGCTTTAATGACTCACCTCTCTATGCATAAGAAGGATATTCAGAAAAACATATGAAAAAGTTAAAATTAGTGAATGAAATACAGAAATAATCATCCATCATACCAACACTACTGGTGTGAGAATTAATAAAATAACTACGAAATTACCAACAAACCAACAATAATTCACTTCAAAAACGAATGTTTTTGAAGTAAATTATTGTTATTGAATTATCGAAAAATTTTCGAACTCTTGGAATCAATCAAACCTGATGATGACTGTTGAAGACGGTAGAAAATGTTCATTTTTGAAGTGAATTATTGTTGGTTTGTTGGTAATTTCGTAGTTATTTTATGAAATACAGAAAGCATGCAGACAACTTCTAACTAGCAGATATTTTAGCATTTTAGCAGATATTTTAGCATAAACAAACATTTTAAAGCAGAATATAGTAGCATATCTATTTGAAAAAATTCATTTACAAAATATAAAATTGTTTGAGCTGTAAAAGAATTTATTTAAATTAAAAATAATATTTAACTGCACATTAATTCTTAGGGCTGTCGATTAATTACATCTGCAGTTTTTTGAAATTTTTACTCCCCCCTCTCCCTTTGTTCCAGTCTCTCCAAGTTTTTGTAACTTCCTCCTCTCTTTAGACTTTAAACAAAACTCAACTTCCCTTAAAGCCTTTATTACTTTATGAATGATAGATACCTTAAGTAGGAATGAAACATACAAAAAAATTTTAAAGTAAATATAATAAAATGCATATACTGACTGTATAAAATTTAATGAAGTAAAATGGACATCCACTGAAGCTCAGTCCCTCCTGTCTCCCCTTGTCCAACTTGTCATAACCCCCTTCCTCCCGTTCAGTCCAGATGTCATTCATGGACAGCAACTGTATTATAATGCCACCACTTCATTAACTGAACTAGATATACAGTATTTAGTTTAGTTAATGAAATGGTAGCATTATAATACAATTTAATTTTAAATTATCAGTAATTTATTTTCATTATAAGCCTTATTTTAAAATACTGTCAATCTGGCAATATATTTTTAAAATGTTGTTGCTTGAGTTTGACACATTACAGATAGAAAGTCTTCTTCAAGCATGGATGTGTACATTAATTAATATTTTCAAGTGTAAGTATCATACTTATAGTTGATATAGCAGACTTTTTAGAGTACTGATCTTTTCTGTTCTCCCCAATATGTCTGATACAGCTAAATAACTACCAATAACTCTACAGAAGTATTTATAAAATGGACTGTGCATACTACAATAACATATATTTACAAATAGTATTCATTATATGACAAAAAAAAATGGATGCAGAATGGATGCACAGATGTACCAACTTTTCAGTCAGTAAAAAAGACGAAAAGACCATCTTGAGCTGAACTGGTTAGCATTATATGCCAAAAAAAAACTGTCTCTCCAGTTTATTTATTTCATTGAGACATTTTCAGCATCAGAAATTATTACAACATAATTCCCTGCCAGTGACAATTTGAGGAGAGGTGAGAGGGAAAAATACTGGTGTACTGTTGAGGTGTTGACATATATAAATAGCATAGGTTTAACTGCACTCAATAACCATACTTCATGAACACTGGTGTTATCAATGTTGCACACCAGAAGATGATGGTTGTTCTAATGTTATGGGAATTTGCCAGAAGAAGAAAGCAGGCTGTTTGATTGAAACTGTGTTTTCCTTCCATTTTTCTTGCAAAATATATCAGGTTGAGCTAAACAATATTAACTCTCATCTCATGGACTATCTGTTGGATTATGCTTAAACACTTTGTCATTACAGTTTATGACTTGGAAAGGTCCACTTTATATTGGTTGAAATGATGATCTTTGAGTATTATTTCTAAAGTAAATATAAGTGCAGAAATTTAGATCCTTGTTGACAAATGGGGATACATTGGAACATGCTTGAAGCAAATCTGATTAAAGCTTTTCCATTGTTGCCTTAAATTTCCTGACAAAGGTGGTTGGATCAGTCTGAACACTAATGATGAAGACTCCATCAACAGAGATAGTAATTTGCCGTACAGAAGTTCCACCAGTGGCAACTGCAATCTTTCCACATTGTCACTCTCAGATCTAAGAAGACTGTTGGAAGGATATCTATCCAATTGTCAGTATGGCACTGAATGACTGTTATGTGTTAAGATAACAGCACTTGATCATGTCATTTTCCACAAAGTGGAAATGAGGTATGAATTTGCTTGCTTCCCATAAGGGTGCAGAGAAATTGGAAAAGATTTGACTCAAAATTGCTAATCTTGGTCCATAGTTACCTTAATGGAGCTCCAAAGCAGTAGATCCATTCAAATAGAAGGTTTTTGCTACTGTCTTTGCTTCAATGTGTGAGGCCCCAGATTGAGTCTGAATCTCCACAAATTGTATATGTCTCATTGTTGACAAGAAGGAAAAAAGGCAGCACTTAACAAGGAAACAGTAAAATCTTTTTTGTTCTAAATTAATTAATTTATTATCATCATCATCGTATTAATGTCATTTTGAAGTCGTATCTAATGTCAGGTTCACCCATGCATTAAAATGTCCCTGCACACTACACAAACATGCATATAGGCTACAAATAGTATTCACTACAGTTCAAAAATGACACAGAACTAGAGTGTCCAGTTAGTAAAAAGACAAAAAGACCAACTGAAGCCAAAACAATTAGCATTGTTTACCTAGAGAATTATGTCCCTTGTCTAATTGTTTGGCTAGAACTTTTTAGCATTTTGAATTTACCATAACAAAAATTTTGATAAATTAATACTTTTTAGTTTATTAATGAGTTTTAAAGCATGAAATATATCAAAATATTTAAGGAATTTTACTTATTTTATTTGTTCTTTAATATTTTGAGTTGAGCATAAATTTTTTATATATTTAATACATATAAAATTAATATTTATATTTCAGAATGAAGGAAAATTAGATGATTTTATCCAAATGAAAACATTAGGATCAGGTTCCTTTGGTGTTGTAAAACTTGTCAAACATAAAAATACTGAAGAATTTTATGCTCTTAAAGTTTTAAGTAAGGAAGAGGTAATAAATCTTTTGTACAATACATCTATATAAAGCATTTGTAGGCATTGTATTACTGTCAATGGAAATCATATCACTTTTTAGAATTATAACCTGTCAAAGTTCAGAGTGTGTCCATTTTTCTTGATTCCAACTCTGACCCCAGTACCTCAAAATGGCTTTTGACTCTCCATTTCCAACTCCATGGTCCTGAACAGAACAATCCAACAAACATTAACCCATGTATTTCTGACATGCATACATTCATCTATCTTGACAAGAAGATGGTAACAGGAGTACCATTTTTTTTATTAATTGCCCACTTAACACTCCTCTTTAATTAAAAATTCTTACAACCAATTTTAAACATTTACAAAAATTCTTGAACATCTCACAAACCTTATAACTTATCAAACTTTCAAAACAAAATACTTAGATAAATTAAAATTTATTTCAGTTCCTTCAATAAATTAAAAAATAATAATAAGTAGTAGATTTCTTGTCTTTGTCTCCTTCTAAGTTTGCACCTACAAAGCCCTGAATTTCTTTGCTATCCAAGTTTCTTTCATGAACTATTGATAACTTGACATCTGAAGTTCCTTTTAAATCTCTCAGAACATGTCTGAAAGCTTTTAGTAACTGTTCATTTGTTTTATTTTGATAACGACTGAGGATTCTGAGTACTGAACATAAATTAGGATGTGATCCTTACATATCACATGTTAAAAACTTAATTAGGTATCTGCATTTAGTTTGTAAGGTTCCATCATTTGATAACTTTCTCAAAATCTTAAAATTTGGCTGTAAAAGGTGTTGATGTCAGAATACATTCTTCCAACCCATAAATTTTCAAAATTTTTGTCATATGCTTTTAGTATTAATAAAGTGCAGAATTGTATATTGAAATTGATCAAAAAATTAATTTCAATATGTAATTCAGCATTTTATTAATTTAGAATACATTGTTTAGTCCTCTATTTTAATCATTGTCACCAATATCTGTTATGTTGGCGGCAGTAAACACTAAGAATGTACAAACCAATATAAAACATTTATTAAGACTGACCTGCTTGACTCAAAATAAATTAATTATACAACTACTAACCTGTTAATGCATTTCAGTTGAACAATATAATCATGAGAAGTACAGTTCTGATACCACCTTATACACACACTTACACAACAAATGGTTACACTGTAATTACAGTGAGTGGATTTCATTGTATTACTGAAACAGTAACAAAATTTATGAAACTTATGTAATTGTTTCTAATTTATACAATTCAAATTAATTTTATAAAAATAAAAATGTATTTTAATTAAGAAATATTAAAATGATTAATATAGAAATTACTAAATTTTTTATATGTTAATAATTACAGATTGTAAAACTTAAACAAATTGAACATACTCTAAATGAAAAGAAGATATTACAAAGTATTAGTTTTCCCTTTCTTGTGAAGTTAATGTTTTCATTCAAGGTATTTGTATTATTTGTCTTAATAATTATATGGTGATTATATAATGTAATTAATGTTTTTAGAGTTTTATGCATTATGACAAATTTTACACAACGCTATGTAATTCATTCATGTAATGACAGCGATTTTTGTCAGTAAACGAATAATATTATAATGTAAAATCAAATGAAATCCATTTGTTCTGTATCACATGATCTGCTGCACATGAAATGTGATATATAGTGTCAGTTTCTTGCACAGAACAATCAAAAATGGGTGTGATCTTGAGACCATGTGATTTAGATTATCATTGACCTTGTAGTATCCTAGGAGCACCGAGGTTACTCTGGACAAAGAGTAGGGTAAAAGGCTACTGTTACACGAGGATTTTTACACGAGACAAACGACATGTATCAATAGTAGGAAAATATTTAATGAATATCAAATTCGATAAACTAGGGTTTATCATTACAAAATTACATAAAAAGGATTAAAATGCTCGCGTCAATACTTAACTAGTCTTCGCGGACACAGAAATAGAAACAATGTATATATATATAATTGTTTTTTATACAAACACTTCACAGAAGTAATTCCAACGTTGAACTAATCTGCACGTCTCTTTAAAAAACTCCTGTTGTATTTCGGGGTTGTCTAAAAATCGGCATCGTCCATGTGGCTTCATCAATGCAGATGGATTCCGCACGTGGTGAATCCCCGTCTTCCTTTGTCCAGTCCACTAGTACTACTCGTCCACTCCGGTGCACCTCAGCCCGTCCGTCTCAGTCCTTGTCTCACCCACTAAAGAACTCTCGCACACGTGGGATGGCAAAATTTATAAGTCCCGCCATCGCGCATGTCACCACACGTGAACACAACACAGCCAATCGACACAACGGGGCTGTGCTACCCAAGTAAAAGGTGGTTTTCTTACACAAAAAAAACGAAAGTTACAAATTATACAAAAAAAAACAGGTACGGAAAAAGGAACCTTGCACAAGGGTATATAAATACAAGCGCCTATCCCTAAACAATAGTGACGCAGCACTACAACCTTTTGTCTACCAAATGGGCTTGTCATAGTTGGGAAGGTTGAGTTATGGAAACCCAGGCCTCGTAGGGCTTGATGATGTCAGTGGTACCCAGATCTAGAGAAATGAATGCAAGCATATAGGACAAAAAGATGACACTTTTGACTTGATGAGCAAGAAGAGATATGTGAAAAGTAGGTCTTCAAGAGTGGTAACGAACAGTATTGAGAGAGAGAAAGATGATGAATTAAGGTATATATTGTGTCTTGAACTGAACCTAATGATAGTGAAATAAACTTTTAGTTCTTTCATTATGATTCTTGTTGTGAGGTCACCAAATTGGGGATTACCAAATGTCAGGATTATCATATATGGGATGAAGGAAAGTGAGTGACAAAGAAACCTGTTTATTTACTATCTTACAGTCTAGTGTGTCTTGTCTTCTGGAGGTGCTGGACTGTTCAGTCATTGGCCCTGGGATGGCCAGTCAATGCTTTGATGGTGTGAGAAGTCCAGTGACAAAGTGTGATAGCCTGAAGTTCAAACAGGATGGTGTTCACATGGGGGAGGCAGGGAAAAGTCTGGACAGTGGTTGTCACTATCAGAAGCTGGGAGAAGTCTTCCTTTGTCCTCGAGATCCAGGTTTTTAAAAGATTCTCTTCCCTGGATCTCTAGCTTTTGATTGGTTGGTTTCCTGTATCTAGACAGATGACAGACCATTTCAGGCTATCAAAGGTTTAATTTAACACTGTTTTAATCTGATCAAGGGAAATTAATTGCACCTTGAAACCCTACTTGTATTTAATTGTTTTGAATTTTTATAAGTGACACGTTGCATCTCCTTTTAACGTTATTTAAAAACTTATTTTTTTCTCTCAATTAATAATTTTATTATTTTCCAATTTTATTTAGGTTTTTCTTCCAATTTTTATGAGCGTTAGAATCAAAGCCCAATCCCTTGATTTGACACTTTTATGTTATTTTTAACATGTGAACTCAAGTATCACTTGGTCCTCACATTCTTCATGAAAATGCATGTCTCTACACATTGCCAAAACTGTTCAGGATGCATTAGCAGGATGCATGTAGGAGGTTCTTGTCCATTCAGCTTACAGACCTGATTTATCACCATGTGACTTTTGTTTGTTTAGATTTTTAGGCTCTAATAGGGCAAAGCAGTGGGAAACCTATCTGAATGCCTTTGGAAACTTTGGATAAATTTAATAATTAGATTTTTACTTGATCTTAAGATCAAAAATTACAACATTGTTATCTTAGAGGTAATATAGACACACCTAATACCAATGATGCAATATATATTATATTTTTAATGATAAACAATGAAATAAACATCTTAAAATATGTTACAATAAAACAATCAATATGTTTTACATCATATTAACAAAATAATCAATTTGAAATGCATTTTTATCATCAATAACAGAAAAGAATAGAGTATTATCAAGAGTAGAACATACTTTTCATCATTTAATTAGATTCAGACCAAATTAATCTCATCTATTTGTAAAAATATATTGTTATAAATGATGTTTTTCTTAGAAATATTACATATTATATTGTCATTAAAAACAATCTTTTGTTATTATTTTATTAGATGAATGTTAAACATATCCAAATAAACATTTGTGTATTGTTTCAGTATTGGTAGAAATTTTTTATTTTAAAATAAAATTAAATTAAAATATTTCATAATATACATAGATTTTTATGCAATATTTAACTTAATTTCAGGAGCTTGTTCCATTAAGCATGGAAACTGAAAATATATCATATATAGGTCTACATAGAATATTATTTTTTAAAACTGGTGTAATCTTGCATGTGCTCACCAGCAGCCAAGTGGATAAAACCACTGAACACTGGCAGTTGATCATGGATTTGCACCTTGCCAACAGACTGGCCACATGGAGTTTTCTGGATTTTCTTCATATTAGTAATACCTAAATACGGGCCAGTTTCCCATAAAAGATCACCCAGGAGGCATTTCCCTTAAGCCCTGGGATTTCCAGCGGCAGGCACTTTGCGATTTCCAGCCACATAGGCAACTGCAACTGTGACGGTTGTTCTTGTTAACTAGTAAGACCCTTCGAAAACTGGCATGACTGCAACCGCAACTAGAAACAAAAAGTTTGTTCTACTTGCGCCGATTGCAAATGCACGTCCAATCAGCAAATGCATATTGTGCTACATCATACAGTGGCAACTTTGAAAGTAGTTATCATCAAGCAGAAAGTGAAAATACTGACTGGTACAGCATTAGAATTGAGATTGATCCAGCTTATTCGGGCTTACGAATGCCTCTGAAGTTTTAAATTTTTATTTTATTGAAGAAAAGAGAAAAGAACACAGGCATGGCATGAGATAAGTGAAAGTCTGTCCATTGATTGCAAGTATCATTTTTAGATTTCTGGATATAAAATTTCAGTTGTTTTTAGTTTAGTAACAACAATATTATTTTCAATATAGTTAAAGAACTAAGTAGAAAGTACCACTATTTGCTAACAATATTCATTCACATTAAAGAAAAAAATATAGCAGATGAAGTGGATGTTGGTTTATTATAAGGTCACGTATTCATTGTTCATTGGTGTTGCAATGCCAATGAACAATATGACCACGACAAGACACGTGAAACTTGCATTTGTTGCTGTTGTGGTTGCCTGCGTGGCTGGAAATTGCATGGTGTGACTATGGCTTTAGGAGATTGTCCATGTGTCACATTGCCATTAAACAAACAATACCAATCTTGCAGGTTTATCGATAAGAACCTTATTACAAGATACAATTTGAGAATGAGTGATGTGGAGTTGATTACTCTTGAGACGAATGTACGGTACAATGTATGAAAAGAAAATCCTTTTTTTTTATTTAAAAACAAATAGTTACTGATTGTGAATCTGATCCACAATAAGTGCTTTCCTATGTGCTATTCACCAGTATAGTTGCCTGACAATGGTTTAGCAAATATGCAACATCTATCCTGACAATGTATTTACTCGAGGATGTTGCAAATATAACAGTTGTATAGTGGTAGCATATTTATGATTAAAATAGTTATTGAACTTCAACCAAAAGTTCATTCCTTTCTTATTGATTGTGGCAAAGCTCATAGCTCCAACCTTCTTTTTCTGGTATTAATGGATTTTCTCCCACTGCACAAAGTCCAAAAAGCACACCCTACTCAACTCCTTGTTACATTCTCTTTCTCTGCTTTATGAGTGTACACACAGCCTCTTTATACCACAAGTGGAGTGCCATATGGCAAGGAAACATGAAAGCAAAAAAATCAAAGGATTACACTTGAAAAATTGTCAAATTTGTTTTAAAAGAAAAGCTTTCAGACAGTAGAATTATTTTTTACATGATTAATTCTTATTTATTTATTATAAATATGAACAAGAATTAATCATGAAAGTATTGATTATAGTTGAAAAATAGTTCTAAGCATTACTGTATGTCTTTTATAGTTTCTCCAAATATATAGCATTATTTGATACCTTGTTATTCTGTTTTTAAGTTAAGTAGGTTATCAGCAGTGGTGATATTCAGCAGGTTCGCACAGGTTCGGCCGAACCCGTTGTTAACATTTTCAAAGTTTTCCGAACCTTGTTAAACACACATAACATTTCTCAGGGGTTTTGTTTCTTTTAAAAAATATATTAAAATATACATATTATACTCTGTAACACTACTAAACTAGAGCCTTATACCACGTTCGCCTTGGCGCGACCTCCCTCGACCGTTTCAATCTCGACTGAAACGAGGTTCAATCGCGATCGACTCAAGAGAGTTCTTGAAACTAAATCCAGTCATAAGAGAGATCCCACAATCCCACGTGCGCGAGAAAATACAAGATGGCTGCGGAATACGTGTCGTAATAAAATATATACAAAATAAATCATTTTGAACACTTTTTTTTATTATTTATAAAAAAAAAATATAGCTCTGGCATAAACAATATTAAATTTTAACTGACTTAATTTTGTGAACGCATCTTTTTTATTTATATGGGTATCTTAAGGTCAGTTTTTGCGCTAATGTTGCTAATGCACCATTTGAGCGGAAAAAAAATGTTAAGGAAAAATTTTCTGTTAGCGAACCCTTTGTTAAATGTTTCGAATATCACCACTGGTTATCTGGTTAAGTAACTTTAAAGAAGGTACTTAATCTTCTTTAAAAATGTGTACTACTGGTTGAGATTTAAGTATATTACATTTCTATTTGATTAACCATTTTCTGCTTTTTGCATGTTATCTCTGTAAATATGTGTTATTTACACATATTTACAGAGATAACGTGTTTCTAGAAATTCATTTAAACATTACGGCATTCTCAAATTTGGATAAATATCTTTATGAATGTTTTTTTTATCATTTTTTTTCTTATTTTCTAGGATAATTCAAATTTATATCTTGCACTAGAATATATTCAAGGAGGAGAAATGTTTACACATTTAAGAAAAAGTGTAAAATTCAGGTAAATTAAATATGAGATTTTTAGTTGTTTTCTGTTTTTATTTTAAAAATGAATGATATAAATTTATTTAATTAATATTAAAATAATAAAATTAATTTATTATGTCTTAACTACTATGAATAGAACAAGTTCATGGTTCCTTACAGTTGTCTTTACTGACTTCATTTGTATGTAGGGCATTTTCCAGATGAAAGATGGAAAGTGCCCTACATTGGTGTAAAAACTGGTTCCTTTGTTAACCAGTTTTTACACCCCAGAGACAATTGAGACAATGGTTTAGCAATACATAACAGAATTAGAATTTTTTCCTCATGATGTTTTCAACATAAACATTAGCTTATTTAATATCAATATCTTACTTACTAATTAAAGTTTTATTATGAGACTTATTAATAAATAGATGCATATTATAGAGTTGAATCAGATCTTATTCTAAGGATTTTTTCCTACTGCACAAATATCAGTTTTGTTTTGACCAAACAAATAAATCCTAGTGTTAATTTGAGGTGGAGAGCATATATTTTAAATTAAAAAAATTAAAAATATGATTAAAAATTGCAGCTCGGCATTGTGACGATGTCACAATAAACAATTGCTGGTTAACTTCAATCATTGTTCAATCTTAATAGTCAGAGTTGCGCACTGTGTATCTGCATGCAATATAATTTACTATAAGTGTACTGTGGTTGTGGATTAGTTTTAAATGATAATATTGACGTTGTGTCGGCATAAAAGTATCTATTGTATATTTGAAACAAATAGTATATCCTACCAACATTCCTTCTGTAGCTGTTTTTCCATGGGCTGAATAATATATACAGGTTTATATTAATTTAACTCAAGAAGAAAGCGTTGAACAGTCAATAACTAGGAGCTGTTTAGACATGTTGCAAGAATACAATCAAAGAGCTGTTATACTGGAATTGCATTATTGTTACCACCCTCACAAATCGGCATGGTTTGGCTATGAGAAAACACAAGTTTACAACATAGCCAAGAAGTTCAGGGAGTCAGACAACAAGGAGAATATGACTCCTGATAAGACAACTTGCAGTAAGCATTCTGATTGCAAGAGAAGTGAGAATTCATAACCAAACTGAAGGAAAAGATTGATCAGGATGGTGCATGAAGCATGAGTGACCTCACAAAAGAAATGGGTATGGTAAGATCAATGATCAGTCTCACAGCGCAGGAGGACCTGCAATACTGTTCTTTTGTCCTGAGGAATCATTAGCTCTTGACTGAAAAGAACAAAAAGGACAGAAAACTGAAAGTGTGGACTCTGGTTCCAACTTGCGGTACTGTCCAGCTCTGACTGCATCCCCTTGATTATTATGTTTGGAGCATGATTGAGGCAAAGGTAAATGTAAAGCATCCAAGGATGCTATAAAGGCTTCCGTCATGGAAGTGATGACAGACATGAACCAGGAGCCTGCAGCCATTTCAGGTCAAGACTGGATAAGATCATGGAAGCTGACAGAGGCTACATAAAATAATTTTTGTGAGTTGTCTACTATTTTTGTATCAACTTTTGTAAGGATATGTTGAATTTTCCTTCTATTTTTAATTGTTTTTCATTATATGGTGACTTTTCTGGATTTACCTTGACAACCCTATATATATATATATATATACCCACAATGGCCAAACTATGTCTCACAAATTTCAAGTGGCTCTTCTAAATTTGTACTGTGGCTTCTATACAGCCTATTTACACAGTTTCATTTCGTAAACTTAAACTATATATATATATATAAGCAATATATAGCACTTAATATGATAAGGTTTGGACATCTCCTGACATTCACTGTATATGTTGCATTTCCCCCCCCCACAGATTAAGTTTTTGATTGTAGTTATATATTTTAATAAAAACACATATAGATCAGTTTTTTCTTCTAAAATCAACTATTATTGTCCTTGTTCCTGTCTGACCAGAGTCTCAATAAGTTTAATAGCATTCATATATACACGTATTCATTGTTCATTGGTGTTGCAATGCCAATGAACAATATGACCANTTTATTTTAAAAATGAATGATATAAATTTATTTAATTAATATTAAAATAATAAAATTAATTTATTATGTCTTAACTACTATGAATAGAACAAGTTCATGGTTCCTTACAGTTGTCTTTACTGACTTCATTTGTATGTAGGGCATTTTCCAGATGAAAGATGGAAAGTGCCCTACATTGGTGTAAAAACTGGTTCCTTTGTTAACCAGTTTTTACACCCCAGAGACAATTGAGACAATGGTTTAGCAATACATAACAGAATTAGAATTTTTTCCTCATGATGTTTTCAACATAAACATTAGCTTATTTAATATCAATATCTTACTTACTAATTAAAGTTTTATTATGAGACTTATTAATAAATAGATGCATATTATAGAGTTGAATCAGATCTTATTCTAAGGATTTTTTCCTACTGCACAAATATCAGTTTTGTTTTGACCAAACAAATAAATCCTAGTGTTAATTTGAGGTGGAGAGCATATATTTTAAATTAAAAAAATTAAAAATATGATTAAAAATTGCAGCTCGGCATTGTGACGATGTCACAATAAACAATTGCTGGTTAACTTCAATCATTGTTCAATCTTAATAGTCAGAGTTGCGCACTGTGTATCTGCATGCAATATAATTTACTATAAGTGTACTGTGGTTGTGGATTAGTTTTAAATGATAATATTGACGTTGTGTCGGCATAAAAGTATCTATTGTATATTTGAAACAAATAGTATATCCTACCAACATTCCTTCTGTAGCTGTTTTTCCATGGGCTGAATAATATATACAGGTTTATATTAATTTAACTCAAGAAGAAAGCGTTGAACAGTCAATAACTAGGAGCTGTTTAGACATGTTGCAAGAATACAATCAAAGAGCTGTTATACTGGAATTGCATTATTGTTACCACCCTCACAAATCGGCATGGTTTGGCTATGAGAAAACACAAGTTTACAACATAGCCAAGAAGTTCAGGGAGTCAGACAACAAGGAGAATATGACTCCTGATAAGACAACTTGCAGTAAGCATTCTGATTGCAAGAGAAGTGAGAATTCATAACCAAACTGAAGGAAAAGATTGATCAGGATGGTGCATGAAGCATGAGTGACCTCACAAAAGAAATGGGTATGGTAAGATCAATGATCAGTCTCACAGCGCAGGAGGACCTGCAATACTGTTCTTTTGTCCTGAGGAATCATTAGCTCTTGACTGAAAAGAACAAAAAGGACAGAAAACTGAAAGTGTGGACTCTGGTTCCAACTTGCGGTACTGTCCAGCTCTGACTGCATCCCCTTGATTATTATGTTTGGAGCATGATTGAGGCAAAGGTAAATGTAAAGCATCCAAGGATGCTATAAAGGCTTCCGTCATGGAAGTGATGACAGACATGAACCAGGAGCCTGCAGCCATTTCAGGTCAAGACTGGATAAGATCATGGAAGCTGACAGAGGCTACATAAAATAATTTTTGTGAGTTGTCTACTATTTTTGTATCAACTTTTGTAAGGATATGTTGAATTTTCCTTCTATTTTTAATTGTTTTTCATTATATGGTGACTTTTCTGGATTTACCTTGACAACCCTATATATATATATATATATACCCACAATGGCCAAACTATGTCTCACAAATTTCAAGTGGCTCTTCTAAATTTGTACTGTGGCTTCTATACAGCCTATTTACACAGTTTCATTTCGTAAACTTAAACTATATATATATATATAAGCAATATATAGCACTTAACATGATAAGGTTTGGACATCTCCTGACATTCACTGTATATGTTGCATTTCCCCCCCCCACAGATTAAGTTTTTGATTGTAGTTATATATTTTAATAAAAACACATATAGATCAGTTTTTTCTTCTAAAATCAACTATTATTGTCCTTGTTCCTGTCTGACCAGAGTCTCAATAAGTTTAATAGCATTCATATATACAAAACAAAATTATTTGAGAAACACAACTAATATAAAACAATTGTAATACATGTCATATAAATTCAGTAAATTCTGTACAAGTTACAGAACTATACTAAAAATTTAGAAACCACATATATATATATATATATCTTGTACAATGCAAAAAAAAAAAAATGTTTTGAATCTGTTTACATTAGATTTGAATTGAGTATTTAAAAGACATTTATAAAAATTATTATTTCTTATGTACAGTCTTAAGTAAATATGTCATCAAAATTTTAATTATTTTATACTTACTTAACGATCATTTAATTCTATTATATATGTTTAAATTTCGTTTAATATTTAAGAATATGTATCATAAAATATGTGTATTTTTGTAGCGAAAATCAAGCAAAATTTTATGCTTCTCAAGTTATTTTGGCATTTGAATTTTTACACTCATTAGACATTGCTTACAGAGATCTAAAACCAGAAAATATTCTCATTGACCATCTCGGCTATATTAAGGTATAAATTTAAATATATTATAACAAATTGCAATTATACTGCAATTAAATAAACATAGTTATAATAATATGATAATTATTACAAACTATTTTAATGTTACTTTAATTAAATGTGTATAGAATAAATTACTTTTATAGTATTTCATGGAGTGAATTACTGGTGGCATTATCTGACTTAAATTATTTTAACAGTCAGATAATGCCATAATGCAATTTAATAGTAGTAAATTTTGAATATAATTTTATTATATTACTTTATTGTATTTCTTTTTATTATTATTTTTAAATAAAAATGTTAACTTCAACTATTGGAGAAACTGTAGACAATAAATTAATGATTTTACTATTATAATCAACAAACAACAATAGATTTTTTCAATTAGGTTGTATGAGAAGGTATGAGGAGGATATACAAAGAAGACTGCAAATTATATATTTATTTTGAAGGAACTTTTCTGTTCAGTGGTGTGTTATCCTATTGGCAAAAAAGGGCAATTGCCTGGAGCCCCCACCAACAGGAGTTCCTAAACCAATCTTTTATAAACTCATTGCTGTATTAAGAATATTGAAATTTAAATTTAGTGTCTTATCTGGGGACACTAGATTGTTGGTGTGGTGCAGACACAGCACAAAACTTAACCCTCCAGAGATTGCATTAAGAAAGGAATGAGAATACTAGGGATTAAATCCCTGAAAATTCCTCTGAAGAAAATGTCTGAACTGTACATTGGGGGTTGTGGGTCCATAATGCGTTACTGTTTTTGTTTGAATTTTCATTGTTGATTTAGTTTAATAAGAATTTATTGATGTATTATATCACAATTTATTGTTGTTAAGAATACATCTAATAACAATGTTTTTGTTAATATTGGAAATTTTATCTTTTGTTCTTTAATTAATTAGATAGCAGATTTTGGTTTTGCTAAACGTTTCAAAGGTAGAACGTATACTCTTTGTGGAACACCAGAATATATTGCTCCTGAAATCATTCTTGGAAAAGTAAGTAATGTAAAAAAATAATGACAGTTGTATGATAAATTTATACAAAACTATTATGCAATTAATTTGCCTTATTTAATACTTTATATAAATTATTATATCATATTAAAAGTACTAATCATTTGTTATTTATTTTCAAAGAATGCTTTTTAATTTATTGAATTCAATAGTATTTTTATAATTCAATAATAATAATAATTTAGATAGATAGATAACCTAATAAATAGGATTTAACAATTTGGAGGGTTTATCACACCAAGGCCGACAGAAAAAAGACCAGATCTTTTACAAAAAAATTAGTATTTAACTATTAGTGTTATAATTAGGTATAGATACATAAAAAATACCTGTAAAACTTTAGTCTTTATGATAGAAATAAATGTAGGATCAACTAGCAATGCCACTGGTTTTATTCACTCATCTGGTTACTACATAAAATAATATCTTTATACTAGAGTCATAAAAATGTTCCAACAAAATTATCATAAATAATATTAAATATATGTTAATTTAATAAAATAGAACTTGTAAAGATTAAAAAAATGTTTGTGTTTAGTTATTTTTATGTGTAGTAAATCTTTTGTATTGTTTTATATAGTTATATGCATAGAAAATGCTTTAAATATTGTATTTGTGGATATTATATTAAAATAATTTATGAAAGAAATGGATGTCTAGATGTTAGGATCATTATTTTGATTAATCTTAATGGCAATTTTAATATCTAGAAATTTGTTATTTTTTTATAATTAATAGTTATTACCATAATATTTTATTAAACTAAGTTATCACTATAACATAATGTTAACAATTTTCAAAAATAAGTATTAAAAGCACCATTTTGCAATTTTGTATACTATTTAAGTTTACTTCAATTGATGAACTTTATATATTTTAAATTAGATACTATTAATTTTATTACATTAATCTTGTATTTTTATTACTATTTATTTGCTAGGGTTACAATAAAGCTGTAGATTGGTGGACTTGCGGTGTATTAATTTATGAAATGACTGCTGGCTATCCTCCATTTTATGCAGATAAGCCAATTAATATGTATGAAAAAATAGCTGCTGGAAAGGTATCAGTTTTTTAATGTAATAATATATTTACAATGTTTGATTAGGATAAGAATTTGTTTCTATTGTCTTTTTAACATGATTAATTAAGAACTTGTAATATATACAAGAGTATATATATTAATATATAATTTATATAAAATAAAGTAATTAAAATATTATTTTACACAATTTATATGGTCACTTTAACTTACTAAAGATTGTTTGTTTTATTTATATATATTTCAGTTTCGTATTCCTCCACATTTTAGTGGCGATCTTAAAAATCTAGTCAAAAATATGTTGCAAGTTGATTTGACAAAACGATTTGGCAATTTAAAACACGGCGTTGACGATATTAAGAAACACAAATGGTTTAGTGACGTAAATTGGATTGCTGTCTTCCATAGGAATGTATGTATTATTTCTTTTTCTTATTTTTATGTTATTATCATTATTATCTCAAATAATGATAATGATAAAATTATAATTTTCTTAATTGCATACTTATTTTTTATAATATTTATAATGTAATGTTAATTTCAAATTGTATAATAATAAAAAGAATCATTAAACTGTTTCATATCTTCTTTAATGCTTTGTAAAATTGTTTAAAAAACTTAGGATGAATATATGAAGGATAGAAGAAACACTATTAAAAAATTATGAAGTCACTTTTAATTTTTTTTTTGAGTTTTTCTTCTATCCTGGAAAATATTTGAAGCTGTTTTAAAAGTTTTCAATTATAGCATGTATTAATTAAATTTCCATTAAAATTAATAAATAATAAGCATAATCTCTAAATCTGTTGTTATATTACTTTTATGAGAGAAAGCTTACACAATATATTTTAATGTTATCTAATAAAACTTTTGTTTCTAGCAATGTTTTAATTAGCAAGAATATCTAGTAATACATTACAAAACTTTTACCAAAATCCCAAAATTAGTACTCAAGGAGTTTAGTTCCATTTGTGACATTGAAATCCTTGAATACTACAGTTACTTTCTTCTGTATTCATTATTGTGACTGTCATAAGACAGTCCTAGCATAAAACAGCCTCTCATAAGGTAACAAGTAATTTAACATTGCATTTCCATTCTATTGTGGTGTTTCGTTGCGACAAGTACAATGTCCCGCGAGCGGAAAGGTACGAAATAAATACACTTTGGACGTATTGAACACAAAGATATTTATTGTCACTTCGAAACAGGTTCGTTTCTTCCAGATCCCAACAATACAATGATCACTGTACGTACAGGCGTTAAAATTCGATCTAACAAACAGCGGATTAAATGAGGGTTACGACNCATTGTAAAATATAAAGTGAGAATAATTAATAAACACTAGTATTATTTCTGTAGCTATAAATCTCTCAACCAAGTCTCCATTAAGAGTAGAAAACTGTAGATATCTATAACAAAATTGATGAAGACTACAGTAATATTTTAAACTTTAATAAAATATCTATAATACTTGCAATTCTTCAAATAAAATTTAATAATAATTCCATTATTCAAAACAATTTTTTACTGCTGCAGGATGTCCAAAAAGTTACTGAGCGGATAGAAATAATGATGTTAAAATTCTACCTACAGTATTTAATACAAGACCTATAAATTGCTTATTCAATTCAAGTTGACTAATTATACATACGGTATTGCATACAGGTCTTGTATGCAATACCATACATGTAACTTTAATGTCATTACAAATTTCTCACTGCACAATAACTTTGAAGACAACCTATAGTAGTACATAATTATTTTCAATTATTATTTTATTTAAACCTGTATATTTGTATATGCCAACTCCTTTAAAAAGATTTTATATTAATGTAATATTTTAAAATATAATCTGAATCTTTCAAACATTCTGTATGATTCACCTCTATCAAATCCTGTTTTAAAAAGCTTCAATTATTAGTTAGCACTGAACTAAATTATTGTAATTTAATTAAAATTCTGTACATTTATAAAATATCAAGTAGTTATTTATGAAACTAAAAGATTTTAACTAATATTTCACTTTATATTTGATATTTAGGTTCCAGCCCCATTTGTCCCGAAGTGCAAAAGTCCTGGCGATTCAAGTTATTTTACATCTGCATTCGACGAGAAAGATGTAAGAGTATCGGAGACAGAAAAGTTTACTAAAGAATTTGCTGACTTTTAAAAATTAAAAAATATAAATGTAAGGAATAAAAATACATTGTATATAAACATTTGCTAGCTACTTAAACTGAGAGAAATGTTACAAAATAATATAAGATTAGACTAATTTTCATCTTAATATTAGATCTATATAAATATATTTTTATATGAAAGGACTGTTATACTGAAAAATGAATCTAATATATATAAAAATTAAAAAGGAATGCACTTTATGTTGTTATTTATTTATTTTTTTTTTGAAAAATTCAAAAGCAGTTAAATCAAAAGTACAGAATTTTAATTTATTCTGCAACAGTAGAAATCATAAAAATTACAATATTATTATTTACAAATTCATCAAATCAATGCGTGGAATTAATCAAACAACAATTCGTTTATATTGCAATCAATGCAATATTGCATTTTATTATTTAAGCCATTATCTGAAGTGAGTAATGTTTAAAATACAGAAGATGCAGAGTTGATTCTGAGGGCTTTCCATTCCAGGTGGAAAAATTTTGGGAGATTTGATTTGATGATGATTTTGCTCAGCAATATCAAAATGTCACCGTGCATTCTTTTGATTCTTTTGTCTGTTTTAATATATACAAGGTACAGTACTTCCAAAGCTGATTGTCTTGTCCAGAGGATCAACTTTAGAATTCAATTCAATAGGCTTCAATTCGGAAGTTAAAGAATTGTCAAATTCTGATTATATATTCGTTAAATATATTTCAGCAATATGAATTTATTAATAATGATGATAATGGATGTTTCTAGGTTGCAAGATGGCAAGCAGGAAGAAGATAAGCAACCACATTTTCCTTACTAAACAGACTACATCATCAGTTTGTTTATTTTGAGTGCTTCAAGGAGGCAAGCACTTATTCATAAATATAAGTTATAAGTTGAAAGTGTAATATAGCATCTATTTATCACACTGAAAAGCTGATTCCAATCAAATCTTGATTCTTGCTATTTTTATAAGTTATTTTGATTAAAACCCAGACTTTAAGAGTACCGAAGTGATTATACAAAGTGGCCGAAAATTCAATCATTAATCAAGATGTATTGTAAGATCAGTTTTAACCACTTTTAAAATAATTAAAATGCATCTTGGTTAACTGATTTTTGGGCCACTCCATATACCAAATGTTGCTGGAAAGTTAAGCAACTCGTTGCTGGATTTTTTTCTTTCCTTCGTCATATACGGACTATATATTATGGTAAAAGTGATTAAACCGGTGATTGTGCATAATTGCCAGTCTAAAATGGTAAACGTAATGTGCAGCTCATTAAGCAGATTGTATCATCAAGACATTAAGTGTAGTCTCTATGAAGCCATGTTTGATTCACCTTAAAAGCTAGACCAAAGACATTCTACTTTAAAATTAGTTCATAATTAAAACGAATGAAGAATGGGCAATAGATAGGCCATATTAGGGAAGCTACTATGGAGACATCGAGGTAGGAGGATCCCTCATCTGGAGCCAAGAGGAGCGGATGTATAAGGGGAAATTGATGGAGCGAACTGCTTCATCACGTGTCTCAATGTCCCAAAACCTCCAGAACAAGAGAGGAGCGCTGGATTTTTGTTTCCTCCAGGTGACACAGAAGCCTCTTTGTGTCCCCGGGCCATATTGCGAGAGAGAAGAAAATTGAAAAAAATACTTAGATATTAAATTTAAGAGTAAAGAGTTAAAGAAATCTTGAGAGCTAGTTGTCAAGAAAGACGTTGAGGATGGCAGAAGGAGATTTGCTAGTAATGGGACAAGAACAAGGGCTCTCGTAGTGAGGGACACGAGAGTATTAATTTTAGTATTGATTTAACTCTTTACTCTTAAATTTAATAACTTAAGTTTCTAATTTTCCCTTCTCTCGCAATACGGCCCTGCGGCACAACAATGCTTCCGTGTCACCCGGAGAAAACTACTTGCTCCTCCTAAAATTTCTCTTGTTTTCACATGTGTCTACTATTTACTATCAGAAAATAAGTCATATAGGTAGAAGAATGGTTTTAGTGAACCAACAGGGTCTAAATTGTATCTTTTTGCCCCTATATTAGAGTAACAAAACTCGACCCCGTTTTAAACGAAACAAGAAATAATGATAGAAGTATGCTGTACGTTATGATATGACACAAAAGATATGAATTAACTAAATTTAATATATTTGTTTTATTACAAGGCACAATAATTCTTCTAAAAAAAAGGATTGTTTCATTTTAGCGAATATTATGAACGCCATAAAAAATTTTTAAAATAAATTCTCTCATAAGTTTATATCAGGCTATGAGAAACATAAATCGTTTTTATTAATTAGACTGTGTTACTTTATCAACGATGCCTATCGGAGCGAGAAATATGTGTGTTAAACGAATCGATAAATGCATTCAATAGAATACAATCTAATTGTAGCTTTTCATTAAATGCACTTTTTTAATTGTTATAATAATTACTATTGTAAATATTTTAAAATTGTCATCTTGTATAACACGGATGTGTCTAATAATTTATCGATTTTACAATGCGTTGTCTCTATGGCCTGCGAAACAAGTCAATAAATAAGTTATGCCGCTGCTCTCAGGGTTCGGGTTCGAGTTCGGGTGAGATTGCTGATCAAAATTACAGATGTCTCCGTTGTGGGGCCGGCCGAAACCCGCGATGGGCATACAAAAAGATTCGTAACAGTTAAAAAATGAATATAAATACGACGTCCAAAGCCAAATGACCCCGATGAATCTCCTGTGATAAGACCTGGAGCATATAGAAACTCTTGACTATAATATATAAAGAATTATGGCTGCTCTGTAGAATTATTAAGGATTTATATTTATTAAAGAAAGTTAAAAAAGGAAAATGGCCGAATGAAATCGAATTCGGAGCTTCATGTACTGTACAAGTTTAGCGTTACATAGGCGAGTTTATAATCATATTTGCATAGAATTTGTATAAGATATATAAAATAATAATCGACCAGAGTATTATGTAAAGAATAAATCATAAAATTGCCACATAAATCGGAAAGTAGATTTGGTTTGAATTTAATATTATTGTAAATTAATACGTAATTTATTAATTATTAATTTTGAAAATAATTACCATTAAAATAAGGAATAATAATTAGTTTAATTAATTACTATAATTTTTCTACGTTAAAATTTAAATATGGATTTTTTTTTTCAAAATAAGAATTTTAAATAAAAATTAAATTACTTTAGTAACTATTTAATCAGATAGATGGCAGGAGAAGTTTTTATTCTTAAAAAGTAATTTAATTTATTAAATATACTAATATTAAAAATTATTTTATTTAACTTTTGAAATAACCTATTACGTAAACATTAAAAATAATATATGTATGTAATTAATAATAAAACATAGCATAACAATCAAGTACAATTGACCCCGTTGTACGATCGTATTCTCTCAGACGTTATACGGGGGCAACGTTAAAACCCGTGTGTAAACTTAATACTGTTCTTATCCACCCCTTATAATAATTCTAAGAACATGGTCACAATTTTTAACATTAAACTTACGGAAATACAACACTCGCTTTATGACGATTCATTTAGTACGATTTTCCTATTAATCAATTAGTCGTAAAAGCGGGGTTCTACTGTATAATACAGTATTAAGGTTACTGTACTTGTAAGCATAAAAAATTAAATAGTTTATAAAGAAAATTATGAATTATATGTGACATTTATTATATGTATGGTAAGATGAATTGCAATACATGCTTACATCTGTCATCAGAAGTATACGTTTCGTTCTTATATAGCCTATATATACACTGTATAATAGTTTAAAACTATGTAGAACACGGTAAAAAAATCGGTGACATCACAATAAAAGGAACTAAATAATAAAACTGAATGCTCTTTTGTACGAAAGAGTAGTTATTACAAGTCGTGGTTTAGAAAATATGCCCTGTAATAAAAATATATTATTTTTAATTCAATTAAAACAATGATTTCCGACATCTAAATCTATGTATGTGTTACGTTTACAGATATTTGTGTAAAATTCTTTCAGGCATCGTCAAAATATATGCCACATTATCATTATAACTTGACACATTTTATAACTGTGTGCTGCATCCTAAACTGCTGCTGGCTGAAAAACAAGTTGCGTAATGTAGTTACGACGTAAAACTGTTTATATTTCTCATGAAGAAGACTCATATTTTTCTTCTTTTTTTTTACAGTTTAGTAGATGGTGTTAATGAAAATGGCACGATTTCATTGGATCTCAACACAGAAAAACTTGAAAAATCTTTAATGTAATGAACAATTTCATATCTTATAAGTGATGAAAATTAAATTAAACTGTTTTATTATAAATTTTAACATAAAATATAATGTTTTGTTAATCAATGGATCTTCTAAATCATAACTCCTAATGTTACTTTTGTATAAGAAAATATTTAGGACATAATTGCTCTCTGTCTTTAGTAGTTCTTGGTTAGACTCGTAGCCTTAAAATATAACATCTAAAGGTCCTTCCAGTGGTCGAATAGATAAAACCACTAAACACTTGGTTTTCTCCACGTTTATAACATGTAAGTACGGTCCAGTTTCCCATAGAAAGTCCTCCCTCAGCAAATCGCCCGTGTTATCATAAACGAATAAATTTAAACCTAACAAGCTTTTAATCTCTATCAAATAATGGCACATGTAAAAATTTCATATCCTAAGATGTAGCTTATTTAGTTGATGAGCAAATCAGGCCCGGGTTCTCGGCCGCCATTTTTTAACGGTCGTGATCTATTAACCTTACATAACTTCTTTTAATTATAATTCACACTTTATACACATATATTTATACTTTAAAATGCATTTTTTATAGTTGGCATGCACTGTACTTTCAAGTACAGTATGAGGATTACGTCAATCGAATTTAAGTATCGAGTTTAAGCATTTATAAAAGATTTTTCTACACTTCAAATTAGATCAGGTTATCCGCTTTAAGCTATTTTACATTAAAAAAACGTACCTAAACGACGTCAGATTTTGACATGATGAGTAACCAAGACAATCGACATTCTCCGAACCATGAAAAGATGGACAAGATTATGGAAAGGTTATCGTTCTGGGTCTCCCTATTTCACATGACATTAAAATATCTACTGTTCCAGATCTATAATACTAAGGAGAGTAAATAAAAATTTTAACTAGATATTATTTTATGCATGATTAAAAAAAGAGGTGTCAA